TAGAAATTTTTTTCATATAAATGAAGATGTTACTGGCTGTCGAATTATACTGTATTCAAATTATTGCTTCTCATGTTTCAAGCAATTTTCTATAATACAGCAGGATCTCGTTACAATGAAGTTGCAGTGACCCCAGGAAAAATGTTTGTCATAAGTATCATAACAAAGAATTTGTTATTAAATGATCTTCAAAATTATTAATGGGAAGATTGTTTTAAATTAAACCTGCATTATGTTCAAGATCTTCCTTTTTGGCCTTTCCAGACATTTTTCCATGTTTGAAAAATATTGATCTGCAAAAAAATTGAAATAAAAAAACATTTACACTAAATAACAGGTAAACAATAATACTTTTAGTGGACTTGGAAGTTTTTCTAAGCTATTCCTGCTCATATGTGTGAGTTTGGGTGTTCAAAAAAAGCTTTTAGTTGTTGAGCATCAGTAGGGTTTCTCAAGTATCCAAACCCGTTTTAAACTGAGTTTTGATGGGTTCATTTTTTTCTTGTAACCTTTCCCCCATCTTTCCTAACCCAGGAATATTTTTTTAAAAGGAGGATGTTGAGGTTAATTATGATGAATTTTTTCCTTGAATACTCCTTCAATTCATGTCTCAAAAACTAGCCACAGGCATATTTTGAATGGGGAACTTGAGACTGTGCTTGCCTTTGTTGGGGATTCTTCATTCGGAAAATCACAATATGCTCTTTAAAAAAGTTTGTTGTACTGGAATTGGAGAGTTTGTTGTAACAAGATTTTTATAACATTTACCCTATTGGATTTCTGCTGGGATTTGGAAACAAGTTTATTGTTTCACTGAATAAAAAAAATTGCAAGGCTATTTGCTGCAACAAGATTTTACTGTACCAGAATCTGCCAAAAGTTAGTATGAAATCTTGTTTTGCAAAACCCGCTTTTTCTGAAGGATGGAATGGGGGCGCAAAGTATTTTTATTTTATCTCATTCTGAAGATTTTGGCAGAATGAGGAAAAAGAATTGATGAAGACCTTGGTCTTCACCTTGAGATGGATAAGGTATTTGGCATCCGTGACCCCATGGGGGGTTTGAGCGAACCGACGACCTAGTTTCCGGTCAGGGTAACCCCAAGGAGGAGGAGGAGGAGGAGGAGGAATAAGAAAGAATGGGAACCCAAAGCCTGGAACCCGGGGTTCCTGGGCCTTCTTCTTGCTGCTTTTCATTTTATTTCTTCTGGATCGTATACTGTATAGGTTTTTTTTTTTGCGGAAAAAGATAAATAATACCCGGAAGTTCAGACCGGAAGTTTAAAAAAATTTATTACGGAAATAATTCTGTAATTCTGGAGAAATTTGGAATTATGCTATTTCAATTTTCGTTTGATTTTCTTGATGTTTCACTTTTTTTATGCGGTTGAACCATGATAACATGAACCTTTTAAAATGGAAAAACTCTGAGTTTTAAAATTTTCGAGTCCCCTTCAGAAACAATGAATAGAAAAGCTCAGTAACTCGAATTTTCTGATGGGTCTTTTTGGCTATTATTTCAAGGACGTAGGAAAATAGAAAAGCAATAAAATATAACTTGATGTTTTTAAAAAAAAATAAAATGAAGGACAAATTGGGCAAATGAATCCTTGCCTCCAAGTTCAGGATCAAGTCAAATCATTCAAGAAGAAAAATTTGCCCAGAATATCACAAATTTCTGACTCAAACCCTTGCCAACTTAATTTTTTTCTTCTGCTTGTCCCTTCAAGTTTGACTTGAAGAGGTTCCACTGCATATTCTCATTGAATTATTTCCTCAAATACTTTTTTAATTATTTCCTCAAATAATTTTTGAATTATTTTGTCAAATAATTTTTTAATTATTTCCTCGAAGTATCTTGGGATTATTGAGCAACATTCGGTCATACTAGTGTTCTCCTTCCTTTTTTTTTCGTAAGTTTCTGTTTTGAAAATTCAATGTCTCTTCCTGTCAACTCACTGAGCATGACTGGAAAATGAAATTCCCTTCCTTGAAATTTGACCCTGTCGATGGAAATATTTTGCAATTCTCTTCTTGGACCTAAAATGCTGACGTGGTGTCTTGTTTTTTTTCCCCGCGTTGTCGTTCCGAATTTTGAATTTATTTTCTCAATGTCAGGATGAGAGCGTCTTCAAGGATCTTTATTTTTGACATTTTTCGCTTATTTTAAAGAAATCCTTTTATCTATGAGGGTTGAAAAAAATTAGTTGTTTGAAATTGCGTTATTCAAGATACTGCAGTGGGATTTATTTTTTACCTGTACTGCTTGAATGTTATTTCTAACCAATCAAAATAAATTACAGTGCTATAAAATGTTTCAGATTCTTAAAAAACAATTTGTTAAATCATTTTTATTGAGAATTCTGTGTTTTAAAAAATTGTGATCATTTATCTTGTATGATGAAGCTGAATGTAAATGTTCTGCTGATTGCCTTCTGAAATTTTCTGAAAAAAAGCTGACAAAAGATACAACTCCAAGATTCTAGTTGTGGTATGAATAATTTTTTTTTGTCCCACTTCCACGCACCCTCGATTTTTTTTATTTTTACAAATTATCATTTGTATGGACTGACGTATTAGCTTTTACAAACTTGATTCAAAATTTACTTGTGCAGTAAAATTTTGAATGGAGTAAAAATTTTGTGTGATAAAATTTTCAGCTTTTTGAAATTCTGAAATTTAAAAAAGCTGACAAAGATACAACTTCAAGATTCTGGTTGTGGTTTTATTCATTTCTTTCTGTCCCAGCAGTTCAACACACCCACATAAAAAAATTATGGACTGACATTTTTAGCTTTTACAAACTTGATTCAAAATTTCCTTGTATAATGAAAATTTTGAATAGGGTAGTTAACATTTCGTATGGTAAAATTTTAAAGTTTTTAAATTTATTAAACTGTAAAAAGCCGACAAAGATACAAATCCAACATGTAGTGGAATTCTTTTTTTTTTAACCAAAAAGTTACGGACTGACGTTTTTTTTTTTAGCTCTTGAAAATTTAATGTAAAATTCTTTATTTTACAGTAATTTCGTAGGATCCTCCACTGGGTGAAGTGTATACAAGTATACAGGAAATATAATTTTCTTCTGTGGTTCAAATTGATGAGAAACTGAAACTTTGAGGCACAGACCCGAAAAGTTTACGTTGTTTTCGTTCTGACCTTGCTTATTTTTCTATCCTCTCTTGTTCCCCGGGTCTGACCTCGTCTGGGTCATACTTCGTTTTTAGTGGAATTGCCGTGTGGAAGGAAATGTTGAAAAAAGGAAAGAAAAAAAATCGAATGGAGGGGATGGCTTCCGACTTCTGACCAACCGGAAGAAAGGCCGGAAGTCGTCGTTGTACTACTGTAGAACTGTAGTAATATTCACGTTCTACGTTCCAGCTTTTTCCGGTGACATTTCCTCTGGCTTTTTTTCCGGCCTTTTGTTTTTATTTCCTTCCGGTTCATTCAGTGCCTTCAATATTTACGCATGTTTTGACTGCTTCATGAAAAAAATATATATAGATGTGCGCGAATGTTTGTCTTTGTGCCGAATTCGGGATACAGATTTTTTTTTAAATGGTAGAATTCTGCGAAAAAAAATTGGCTTCAAGCTGCTGATTTCTTCTTGCAATATTCCGTGTGCAGCAAAATTCATCCATTTTACTCGTCTTGTACTTTTCTGAAATTGGTAATTTTGACAAATTTGTTCCATTACAACGTGGTCTAATATTTTGCGATTTAATCTAATCTAATTCCATTGAAATAAATTTCTTGATTATGCAAAAAAGGATGTTAAAGTTTAATATTTTATACAGTATTTGAAGGCGTGACATATTTTGAGAGAAATTCTATATTTTTTGAAGACCAACTTCATGTGATTTCTCGAAATATTTATGTATTTTGATCATTTTCAAGAGCAAACTTCGAAATTTTCAATCTGATCGTAGCAATGATTAAAAAAACTGTTCTTTTAAAGCGCATCAAATTTCAAATCCACGTGAAAAGATTTTTGGAATGAAAATCTTTCGAGCAGGAATTGATGAAGGCATTGGAATTTTGCAACTACAAAAATTCAAAGTATTCTGGGACGTGTGTTCATGAGTAATTCTGAATTTTTTTCGAAACTTTGCATGTACAGTATGAATTTGTGAAAAATTTGAAGTGAAATCATATAACACAAATGGGAAATTTAATCCGAGAAAACAAATGTAATGTAGATGCTTCGATTAAAACTCTTGATGTTCTGTCTATCTTTTTAACGCTTTGGTTCGAAAGAAGTACAGTTATTTCGAACGTGTCTATTTTTTCTAAATATTTGAAGTTTTTTTTTATAAGGAAGAGCATTTTTTAAAATTTTCTAGCGAAAGTTTCGGCCACTATTCTTTTTTTTTTGACAAGGTGTTGTGTCACTTTTTGATGTGCAGTATTTCTGTCGTTTCGCATCGAATTATAGGTTCTAAAATATTCATCAGCTGGTCGGCTTGAATTCCGTCGAAAACATCACGTGGCCCTTTATTCTTGCAAAGGGTTCCCTCAGCTTCACTTGATTCATTTATTCACGAGAAAAAAACAAACGCTGGGAAATAAGTTACGTCACTGAATTCAATCCATTTATGATCTTTTTAAAAGATAAAACGCATTTAAAATTTCATACGATCATCATCATCCGCGTTTTGTTACTTTTTGTGGCATGCTGATGAACATATTGCATACGTCGAACGATGAGTGATCACGCGGAAGCGACACCTGGTCAGATGATTTGGCGTATACTCTGCGTGAGAGTACGTATACGAATACGCAGATGTCGCTGCGTTGAAATACTTGTTCCTCGCATCGTTAATCGCGTTTTTCATGCATCAGGAAATCAACGACTACTATATACAGTACATCGTCAATTTGATGCTGATTTCATGTAAGCGTTGTCTTGTGTCCGAGGGAGATAATTGAAAAAAATTGATGATTGTGAAGAGATTAATCATGTTTTGTTGGTGTTTTTTTTTTTTAAATATCTTTTTCAGTGCGAATGCTGGTTATGGCAGCGGCGGAGTCGCGATTGACAACAAGATTGAACAAGCCATGGTAAGTCAATAATAGTTGTATTCTTTTCATTCATGATCATTGGTTTATGAAGTGTTATTACTTTATTTTATTTTGGAGTTGGTTTCATTCCTGTGTACTTCTGTGCATTTAATTTAAGAACTGCAATGTCTCTTCCTGTCATCTCACTCTGAGCATGACTGGAGAATTGAATTCCCTTTCTTGGAATTTGACCCTGTCGATGGAAATACTGTATTTCACAAATCTCTTCTTGGCACTAAACTGCTGACGTGGTGACTTGCATTTTTTTCCGCGTCATTGATCCAAAGTTTAAATTTATTTTCTCGATGTCAGGAAGAGAGTGTCTTCAAGGATTTTTATTTTTGACACTTTTCGCCTTTTTTAAAGAAATTATTTTTTTCTCAAGGGGTTGAATAAAATTAGTTGTTTGAAATTGCGTTATTCAAGATACTGCAGTGGGATTTATTTTTTACCTGTACTGCTTGGATGGTTTATGAATTTCTAACCAGTCAAAATACATTACAGTGCTATAAAATGTTTCAGATTCTTGAAAAACAATTTGTTAAATCATTTTTATTGAGAATTCTGTGTTTTAAAAAATTGTGATCATTTATCTTGTATGATTAAGCTGAATGTAAATGTTCTGCTGATTGCCTTCTGAAATTTTCTGAAAAAAAAAGCTGAGAAAAGATACAACTCCAAGATTCTAGTTGTGGTATGAATGATTTTTTTCTGTCCCAGTTCCACGCACCCTCGAATTTTTTCTTTACAAATTATCATTTGTATGGACTGACAATTTTTGCTTTTACAAACTTGATTCAAAATTTCCTCGTGAAGTAACTTTTTTGAATAGCTTAGTAAACATTTTGTGTGATAAAATTTTCAGCTTTTTGAAATTCTGAAATTTAAAAAAGCTGACTAAGATACAACTGCAAGATTCTGGTTGTGATATAAATTTTTTTTAATGGTATAATTATTTTGTAAGGGTATACTTATTATTTTCAATGGTATAATTAATTTTGCACTGCTTGGATGTTTTATGAATTTCTAACCAGTAAAATTAGTTGAAATACAGTACTATGGAATGCTTGAGATTTTCAGAATATTTCATATGGCCATGAACTGCTGACATGGTGCTGTGAAATTTTTTTTTCCTGACAGGTTCAATTGTATAAAAAATTATAAAAATATATTGGTTTTTCTTTTGTTTTGCGAATTATACATGTTTTGCCATTTTTATATTCCTTACTTAGGACCTGGTGAAGTCTCACTTGATGTTTGCAGTCCGTGAGGAAGTGGAGGTGCTCAAGGATACCATCAGTGAGTTGAAGGAGCGCATTTCCGACCTGGAGCACGAAAATGGGATCCTCAGGGCCCATGCGAACCCAGATACCCTGGCCCTGGTCCAGTCTGCCAAAGCCGCCTTTGTCCGGGCCCCAGCAGCAGCATCTTCCAGCACCACTGCATCCACATCAGTCACACAATCAACTTCTACCATTATTACAAAGACAGTGGGACAAGAAGAAACACAGGGAAAAGAAGGAGATGCTGATGTTGATGGAGAAGATGACTTGCCAATGTCTCTGATGGTTCCCAGCAGGGAATAACTGGAATGAATGACAGCCACCTCTTTTTTTTTTTAAATGTATCTTCCTCTGTTTTTTTTTTTTTTGTGCCTGATGATGATGATGGAGGTCACCCTATGACCCACCTGACCTAAGCTCTTGGATTCACAGGCCTAGTTTTTTTCCTGATAATAAGGTATATGTGTGTGACTGTGGGCTGAAAAAAGAGAAAAAAAAGCTTAGAGTTTATCTTGACAAAACAACAGTTTAAAGTAGGAGAAAACCATTCAAACTTTCATTTCCTCAATTTGAAAGTATAATAGTTTTTATGAGGATTACAATATTATTTTTATTCTAGCCTGAGGTAGATTTCAGGGTGTCCAGAAAGTTACAGTGCAGTTCAGAGAAGCTTCTAATTCATGTGAAGAATTTTTTCGGTTTTGTCCACTGTTCTAAGGAAACTTTTTGTGTGAGGGTAGATGTCACTGGCACTCCAAGTAGCATTTCCAGTTTCCCTGTAAGTCATGCACAAGTTGGAACTTGTTTGAGGGATCTTCCTGTGTGTGCTTGAGGGCTAATTGGGTTTAAAACACTGTGATAATCAGAGGAGAAGCACGTTTTTACCTTCTTGGCTTGTGTTGTTGGTATGCGATGAAATCACGTCTCGCTTGTTCGAAGCAAACTGTAATGCGCGAGCAGTTTTGTGTCGGTGGAAGTTTACCTCAAAATTCGAAAATTTCGCTTACTCTTCCACTTCGGAGCAAACTTTTTTTTCAACTCCCGGCAACATATTTAAACGAACGACTCGAATGATGTGTAAATTTTTGAAGTTGTTACGTCGTACAGTATTTTATGTAATTTTACATAAAATAAATTTTGTTATGAAATTTTTAAAAAATCTGATGAAATAAAACCCCCATTTCAAGTTTTCTACAAATAATATTTTCATAAGTTATCAATTGATTTCAGACTCTGAATATTATACCTCAGGGAAAAAGGAAGAGGGAGAAATAAATTTTTAAAAAATCTGATGAAATAAAACCCCCATTTCAAGTTTTCTACAAATAATATTTTCATAAGTTATCAATTGATTTCAGACTCTGAATATTCCACTTCAGGAAAAAAGGAAGAGGGAGAAAAAATTGGGGCTTGTCTTTGCTGGGACGCTTTTTGTTGTTTAGCTTTTGCAAAAATCAGATTCAGCTAAAACAGGTAACTTGAGCTGCCAAAAAGTCATCTGTGAAATACAGTCTGAAACATTTCAATTTTTTCCATATGTGCTCACATTCAGCAACAAAAAAAGGCTACCTTGCATTTATTGACATCCCAGGGAATTCCTCGAAGTCCTTGTTTGAAAAAGAGCAAAATCTGGATCGGCTTCCAAAAGCTCATTTTCCCGCGCAAATTCCGACTGTAATTTTAATCCTTTTTCAAAAGTAAATTCAGAAGAGATGTTTTCGTTCATGTTCAGCAGTAAAAATAGCTTTTCATCTTGTCAAAGTTGATTGTCTTGGAAGAGTAGATGAAAGCTTGTATTTCTGTAGTTTTGAAACTAGTGAGGAGGGATGAATGAATACTTTTTTTAAAAATTCATTTCAAGAGTACTTGACCTGATACTTTTTATATGAATTTTGAACATGGATGATATGAAGCTGACCAAAGGCATTCAAATTGGTGTGATTAAGGCCCCAGGTTTCCTAGTGTTTTCTTTGTAATTATTTTTAAACTTTTTGTGTGCAGATAAGTGTATAAGAATGTTTTTCAGTTTCTCCTTAATCTTGGATAACAAATCAATAAATATAACCCTGATGAGTCATGAAATTCCAGTTGAATATGGAAATTTGGGGTCTCATTCATCACAAATTTGAAGGCTTTTGTTGACAGAGGTTCTGACTCGTTTCTTGACTTTGCTCAACCAACGAGGAGCGACATCTTGTTCCATTGGAAAGAAATCATTTTTTAGGGGTGATCGTTTCTGACTCACGAAACGTGGTTGCCAAAATTTGTTTTTATTTCTCTTTGGAATGACCAGTATTCTGCAAAATAGAAACAGCGGAAAATTTTCTACTTGAGCTGGGGAAAGAGTAAACATTTTTTATTGCCTTCTGGGGTTTAAAGAAAAGTTGTTGTGCCATCTGGTTTCCAAAAAAGGGTTTTTATATAGGGTGTCCAAAATTTGTGGATTTTTTAAAATTTTACGTATGAGAATTTCTCCTGGAGTGGGTAGTTTTCAGGTGAATTCATGATGGAAATATGAATTTAACGTGAAGTCATGCATAAGTTGAAGGAAATGTCAAAAGTTCTCGTGATATACATTTTACAAATTTCAAATTATTCTCCCTGCTTTAAGAAAATCTTTAAAAGCCTTTTTCACCTTTCCATTCCCACTGTTGGGGATTTCTGTGTTTGTGTCCTTGAGCATCTGAAGAAAGTCTGGCTTCTCTTTTAAACTGTGAATTTTTTGGGCACCCTGTATTTCGGATTTCAATACTTCACAGGTTCTCTCTGCTTTTTTTTGCGTGGATCTTATGACCCTGGATATTGTTCAAAGGGTTAACTTCCGGTGAAGAAATCTCTTTTTTTTGACGACGAATATGTTTGCCCATAATTTTTACATGATTCTGAATCTTCTTCACTCAGGAAGAAAATGAGGAAAATAATGCGACGAATATTTCGAAGTGTGTGATTGAAAAGCAGCAAAAGGAAAGAGGAAAACCCTGGAGAAGCCCAAGTATTTTGCCTTGCTTCAGGCTTCATACGGAATAATGTTTTAAAAAATGTGTTGAAAAGCTGGTTTCTATTTCTCCGTTGACCATTTCCTCATGTCCTCTTTTTAATGCGCCGTTTGTCGACATATTGCGATTGACGCGAAATTGGAAAAGAGGATCTTATTTTCTTTTCCAAGAATTTTGGATTAATTTGGCGAGGAAGAAGAAAAATTTTGACTGGGTTTCGATGCGATGAAGTGTGGTTGGAAGAAATTACTTTACAAGAAGAGTGATCAGTTGTGTCGAGTTCCGAGGGGAAACCAAAATGAAAATTGGAATGACAGATGTGTGTGTTTTTTTTCAAAGGTATGTGTTGTTCAATTTTGGCTGTACTCATTTTGCACTATTATGGACAACAGTTTTCTTTTCAAACACCAAAAATCCTAAAGATGGTATAGAGGAACCTTCTGCTCTGGTAGCTCCTGATCTTCTGTCTAAAAAATGAGCACCAAAATCAAGTGGAAAATCAGAAGCTGTCACAAAAAAGACACAGTGGCACCAGAAAATCTCTTCTCTACTTAGTTTGGTTATTTAGCATATCAAATGAGATTTAAACCATTTGAGATGAGTGTGTGAACCAAACTGGAGTTCGGTTCCCAGGCTTGACAAGAGCAAATCTGAAAGCAGAAGTTATTTTCCCTATAATTTGGCAGACTCAACCCTTGAGAAATCTTCTCTCAACTCAATTTGATTTGATGCTTGCAGTTTGTTATCCAAATTCCTTAGAAGTTTAAAGTTTGGTGAGTTTTAAACAAATACTTACTGTTATGTCTAACAGCAAGTTCGTTACCAACCTTGAGACTTTAGATAACTATTTCTATCCTGGTTTCTTAATTAATGTCTTCAGAGTGCTTTGCGGGCCAGAAGGATTTTTAGTTAGTCCAAATAAATGTAGATACCAGGATCTCAAGTAGAGAGGCAATAAGCTTTATTCAGATGTTGACAGTGCACAACAATCAGTCGCGAGTGCTCAAGCACAAATGCTGACGAATAAAGGGAAACATACATAGTTAAAGGGCCGCGGTGGTCAGCCAGCAGGTTACTCAACTTGTGGGCTGACTGGCAAAAAGAAATAGTACAAGCACACGCAGGAGGACAGCGATGCCCTCCATTGCTGGCCTCAAAACTCATGACTATGCAAGTTTGGTGCAGCCCCTTTTTGGGAAGGGAAAAGCAAGAGAGAAACACACGAGAAATACCAGGGAGCCTGCACACACAGCGCTACCCATAAAAATACTTTGGGATCACAAATCACCCCCCACAAAAGGAAATAACAAGCTCCCGCGTTCAAGTGCATTGAGCTCATTAGTTTTACGGCAGCACGTTTGCAATTGAGAGACGTGTAGAAACGCATGAAACATGCATGACAAATCCTGCCTTGCTGGTGAGGTACACCAGGCTGAGGTGACAACACTGCAGCTTAGCTGTCAGTCTGGGGTTGACTTTCAAGATGTCAACCTCCTCAGATGTCAATTGGTTGGTATCAGGTGAGGTGATTGATCCCACTTTCTATTTCTCAGTGTGCCAATGAAAAATAGAAGCAGTTTTGCATACACCTGAGATTTTTTGGTGGTTGTTTTTTGGCGAGTACAAACGTCAAGGAGGATTGGAGCGCGGATCAGGAATTAAAATAGTCGTGCTTAGCTTCTTGACGCGATTTGCGGTAGTTTTTAGCCCTTGAGATTCCTTGCATGTTGGAACGTGAGTTTCTGCAGTTTTGAGGCTTTGCTTATTTCGGCAGATTTCAGAGTCCGGTGGATTCGGATTTAGCGGTTTTTGGGATAGGTAGCAAAATGAGATCGGCAGTTTTGCTTTGGCAATTAAGCATTAGACAATCGCCAGTGAAACAGAAATTTCGTTCTATAGCTATTACGTGGGAACGCGGTATTGTTCCCAATGCAAAGGCGACAGTCGCGGCAAAATTCGTAACAATCTACGGCGCATTCCATTTGGTTCTTTTCAATTCTTTTTCCCTGGTTTGCTTTTTTCTGACCAATAGTGCGTATTTGAGGTGTTGTTTTGTGAAATTCAGTTTTTTGAAAACAAGAGGTCAGAATAAGTGAACAGAAACGAATCACTCAGCAGATTTGGGAGATATCGCGAATCCGAATTTTAATCGTAAAAATAACATATTTCTGACGAGTTCTTCCATCTTTTAATGATGGTTTCTGTCTTTTTAGGTCCAAAAGAAAAAGGTTCCGCAAAAAAATCATCGAAGAGCCGTAGAAAAATCTTGCGCTTTCTTTTAACATGGTAAGTCCCATAGGGCTAATTCCAAAATTGCAAATACAGCAATATTTCACTATTTTTCAGTTGCGGTTGATAGTTCTGCTGTCCCTGATGGGATTCCATATGGTTTCCAAAAAATGCGGGGTCCAAGATGGCGTCTTTGTTTGTTTGAACGTGTGTGACGAAGATGTCTCCGACTCAGGCTTTTGGCTTTTGGGTCAAATTTGTTGGACGCATTTTGGATTTGAATTGCGTGCGCTTCTTCGGGTTGATGGTGAGTGAACATAGATGTTGCCGGTATGCAGGTGTAAAAACTTTTGTTTTTTGGTGACAGGGCGTTAGGTTGTATGCCCGGACAAAGTGCGTCGGAAAAATCACGGCCACGGTTCGAAGGGTCGTTGATCCATGGGAGTTATACGGTGGCGTATTTGATGCCAACCCAGAAGAGGTATTTCGAACTTGCACTTCTTCCAGTTTCACAAACATTGTGTCGGTTGACACGATAACCGGTCCAAAAACATTGGTTTCCACCACAGGTGAATTTAAATGTAAACTTGATCTACTGCTCAGGAATATTAAATCTAATCTATTTCCAGAGCTGACTGTAACAAAATCAACTTTTTTGCCTGTGGTGCCTG